TCTCCTCTGATGCTGCCTGGCCTGCTGTGCTCCTCCAGCTCCACACTGTGTTATCTCCGACTCCAGCATCGGCAGTTCCTACTATCTCTCAATGTGTTAATGTGTTCCCCTTTAACCTGCAGGTGACAATGGCAGCCATTGGGTCAGGCACTGGGTGAAGGGAGGTTACCATTATTACTACAACCTAGAGACAAAACAAGGAAGCTGGGAGCAGCCACCTGGGTTTGTCCAGAACAACACACAACTGAGCAAGGAAGAAATCCAGGTACACAGTACAGTCCGATCCCAATCACTCCTTGTGATTTATGTCTTGAATTAAAGACAAATCATTTCAGAAATTGGGAGGTGGGGGAGAAATGTGTTGACCAGAGTAAAAGGATAAGGGGGCTTTCCTCTCATTCTACATATCCTCTTTCTTACCTGCTGCAATGAAGTAATTTCCTCTAACTCTCTACTTCCCTTTTCTCAATATTGCAATGCACCCTCCTCATAAATACTACAGACTTCTTTAAAAGTTAAATTAATAGTGTCCAGACTGAATTTTAGGTGTCACCACTTTGGCTCAGTGGTTAGCACAGTCACCTCTGAATCACGAGGTTCAGGTTCAATTCCCACTCTCAGGCTCAAGCTCAGGAGTCAAGGCTGACGTTGCTATGTAGTACTGAAGGAGTGCTGCACTGTCCCAGCTGCTGTCTTTCAGATGAGATAAGGCCCCGTTGGGCTGGATGTGAACAATCCCAGATCTGCATAATTCAGTTTCTTCCTGATCCTGATGGTGACAAATTAGACCAGTCACTCTTTCTCAAACAATTTATCAGACACAGACCACCTCCCTCCCTTTTTCTCTCTCTCTCATCCGTCTCTCGCTTTGTCTTGCACTCTGTCTGACATACTGACCACTTCCCTCCCTCTGTCTTTTTCGCACTCTATTCCTTTATCTCTTACTCTGTCTGTGTCTCTGTCTGTGTCTCTGTCTGTGTCTCTATCTCTATCTCTATCTCTCTGTCTCTGTCTCTGTCTCTGACTCTGTCTCCCTCTCTCTCTCTCACTCTGTCTCCCTCTCTCTCTCTCACTCTGTCTCTCTCTCTCTCTCCTCAGCTGTAACCAGTTTCTCTTATTCTTGTCTCATTCCCCACAGTCAACGATTTCGGGAGTGACAGCTGCCTATAACCGAGAGCAGCTCTGGGTGGCCAATGAGAGCCTCATCACCAAGTTACAGGCACGTTGCCGAGGTTACCTGGTACGGAGAGAATATTCAGATCGAATGAACTTCCTAAAGAAACAGCAGCCAGCAATCCTGACCATTCAGGTATGAGGTGTCTGAGTATTGAGACTGTAGGGAAATGCTTAACACAAACATTTCAGCTGTAGTCTGTTGGTGAGATGTAAATCGTGGCCTTTTCTCTCCCCACAGTCTAACTGGAGAGGTTACAAACAAAAGCAGGCCTACAAGAAAAGGCTTCAGTACCTCAAACACAACACAGACTCTGCGGTGAAGGTAAAGGGATAACTGCTTCTTATATTCAAGTTAACGTGATGCGGGTTAGGAAAATGTTGAGTCTCCATAATTGAATTATTCAAAGAAATTCAGCTCTCTTCATTAACCCCAGCACGTGTCTGAGGTCAGAGTGTACATATACTGGTCCCTTGGGTACACTGTGCCGTGTGTGTGTATACTGGTCCCTTGGGCACACTGTACCGTGTGTACATATACTGGTCCCTTGGGCACACTGTACCATGTGTACATATACTGGTCCCTTGGGCACACTGTGTCGTGCATACATATACTGGTCCCTTGGGCACATTGTATCGTGTGTACATATATTGGTCCCTTGGGCACACTGTACCGTGCGTACATATACTGGTCCCTTGGGCACACTGTGTCGTGCGTACATATACTGGTCCCTTGGGCACACTGTGCCATGCGTACATATACTGGTCCCTTGGGCACACTGTGCCGTGTGTGCATTTACAGACCCAGATACACATTGATTATGATATAATTGATGGCCCCCTTTAAGAAAGAACTGAGGCGCACTGCACACTGGATCTTAGTGGATCACATACTGAAGGGCTGCCTTCCACCCTGAAACATTTAGAGAGAGCTGGGAACTGCAGGGACTGGGGTAAGTCTCTCCTTCCAACTGCCTTTGATTTAGCCCCTATCTTGTACACTACCTTTTCCTTTCGTTATTATTGGTGCTTGTAAATTGTTTAATTTGTCAAACAGGTGAGTTCCTGGTGGGGTCCAAACATAGAGGGGCTGGATTTTACTAGTGAGGGAAATTGATTAGGAAGGGCAGAGAGCAAAGTGGAGTTTGTATTGAACTGTGAACTGCAAAGGAATAATTGTGGAAGACAGATCGCTTCCTGTTTTAACAAATGGATGACTAGCAACATAACACACTCTCTACATCTTATGTACACTGTTGGCCCCTCGTACACACGTAGTGTCTCCTGTCTGAATGGGTCCAGCCTCATTACTCAGCTCAATGCCGTCTGCACTCTAGACAAACCTCTTATGTTTTTCCTTCCATTCTGTCTTCCCCCTTCTGTCTATCTTTCATGCTCTCACTCCACCCTCTCTCACTCTCTGACTTTCCCAACTTTCTCTCTTTCTCACATTCATTCTGTGTCTCTTTCATGTTCTCTCTCTTTCACCTTCTCTGTCCCTTTTGTCACCCCCTTGCTTTCCTCCCTGTCTCACTTTTCTCCTCTCTCACTTTCCCTCTTTCTCTATTTCTGTTACAGATACAGTCGTTGGTGCGGATGCAGCAGGCCAGGAAGAAATACAAGGATCGGCTGAAGTATTTCAAGGATCATGTGAGTGTTGTGATCTGTTAATGACCCCATATGCTGGGATTTGATATTTTAAACCAGCTTCCTTCTGTCAAGACCTCAATTGAGTAAAATTGAAGTTCTGTGTCTTTAAAAAGTTCACTGGCTTAGGGAAACTATCTGCTAGTGCAGCATTCACTAAAGGTTGGGAAGAATTGTCCAGAAATTATGTGGGATTCATTGACACTGAAGGGAAGTGTGTCCAGCCTGTGGATTGGTGTGTGCTTCAACCCATTGTACCACGTTTGATCCTCCCCCACACCCGTTATAATCTTTGCTTCTCCAGCTCTTTTCTGACTGATCTGTAGAAGTCATAATGGAACTGAATTCACCCCACCTGTTCTGTAGAATCTTGGAACCTCTCAGCACAGGAGGAGGTCACTATTCACACTGTCACATTTGTGCTAACTCTTCAAAGGAGCTGTCACGTTATGCATCCTTCCAGTCCAGACTTTCCCCATGTCTCTGTAAATATTCCTCTCCAGTAGCTTTCAGTAATTTCTTCTGGATTCTGATTTCACCTCAGATTCACCTTCCAAATCGTCACTTCGCTGTGTAATGAAATGAAGTCTCTCCACATTTCCTTTATCAATTCTTTTGAACCCATGACCTTTGTGTGGTATTGAATTCAAATAGATTTGTGTGAAATCATCTCTTTGTTCTTTGTTGTACCAATCTTGTAGTAGTAATGTTTCTAGACCAGCAATCCAGAGGCCCAGGAGCTGGGGACTTCAAATTCCAGCTTAGCAATGTGATATTTGAATAAATCTGGAATTAAAACCTAAACTATCATTGATTGTTGTAAAAATAGGCCCGAAACATCAGCTTTCCTGCTCCTCTGACGCTGCTTGGCCTGCTGTGTTCATCCAGCTCTACACCTTGTTATCTCAGATTCTCCAGCATCTGCAGTTCCTACTATCTCTGGTTCAGTATTGCTGTTTTGGATAGGAAATCTGGCATCCTTACCTGGTCTGGCCTACATGTGACTGCAGAACCACTGGAATGTGATTCACTCTTAACTGCCTGCTCGCCTTCCAAGATGCTTAGTGTTTTTAATTCATTTAAGGGACATGGGTGTCACTGACTGGACCAGCATTTATTGTCCATCCCTAATTGCCCAGAGAACAGTGAAGATCAGTTCTGAGGAAGGGTCACAGGACCCGAAATGTCAACTCTGATTTTTTCTTCTCAGATGCTGCCAGACCTTCTGAGCTTTTCAGCAATTTCTGTTCTTGTTCCTGATTTACAGCATCTGCAATTTTTTCGCTTTTTATATGGGAAGATTCATGGGCTGACCATTAACCTGTTTGGCCATGTAACAAACTGCATGAACATCCATGTCCTAGAATGGGGCTTGTAGCTGGAACTTCTGGCTCAGAGACAGGGACACTACCCACTGCACAATGAGATCGCTCCCTTGTTACTGATCCTCTGATTAACTCTTTACCATTTACCCTTCCCTAACCTCTGCACACCCCATCCGGCTGCACGGATGCAGATCTCAGTTTCTCTGAGGTTGGATTGAACACTGCTCAATGTCCAAGTGCAGCTTGCCTTCACATCACAGCTAACAGCCCCTGACCGTGTCTCGCTCCATCCACACTGTAATGCCAGGAAAATGTTCACTGGCATCTGTCAGGGAAAACACAGGAAGGATGTTCCCTGATTGAAGGACACTTAAAACCAGGAGACAGTCTCTGAATACGGAGTCTGCCCTCGGAGAGAGATGGGGAGGAATTTCTTCGCTTGGACAGTGGGGAATCTTTGGAATTCTCTGCCCCAAGGGCTGGAGAGGCTCTCTCATCGGTTGTGCTCCTGACAGAGACTGATAGATTTCTAGGTGTCAAAGGCATACAAGGGGAGAACAAAAGAACACAACGTTATTTAAATGGAGAAAAACCACAGGAAGCTGCAACTAAAAAGGACTTGGGGGGCATTTGTACAACAAACATAGAAAGCTAGCACATGGGGTCAGGAAGGCAAATGGGATGTTGGCCCTTATTTCAAAGAGGTTGGAGTATAAGAGTAGGGAAGTCTGACTGCAACTGTACAAAGTGCAGGTGAGACCACATCTAGAGTAATGTGAGCAGTTCTGGTCCACTTATTTGAGGAAAGATAGCATCTCATTGGAGGCAGTTCAGAGAACATTCACTAGGATGATCCCAGTATAGACTCCAGTGCGGAGTTTTATGAGCAAAGATTAAACAGATTAGGACTCTACCCACTGGAGTTTAGAAGAATGAGAGGTGATCTCATTGAAACATATAGGATTCTAAAGGGACTTGACAGGGTAAGTGTAGTTTCCCCTCATGGGAGTGTCTACAACCAGGTGGGCACAAGCTCAGAATAAAGGGGAGCCAATTTAAAACTGAGATGAGGAGGAAATTCTTCTCTCAGAGTGTCTTTGGAACTCCCTACCACAGAGAACTGTGGGGACAGAGTCCTTGTGTATATTTAAGGCTGAGATGGATTCTTGACCAGTCGGGGAATCAAAGGTTACAGGAAAAGGGCAGGAAAGCGAATGTGAGGAATGTCAGATCAGCCGTGATACTGTTGAATGATGGAGCAGGTTTGAGGGGCCAAATGGATTACTCCTGTTCCTATTTCTTATGGTCTTATATAGAGATATGGCAGGATGGTAGAATTTTGGCTAAGATCCAGTTGTATCTTGGTGCTGGGATTTGTGGCAGAGCGGGTGTAGGAGGAAATGCAAAGCGGAGAGGTTTGGTTTGGTACCATCTGACCCTTGGCTTTGTGTTATGGCTGGGTCAATAACTATGAGACGTCTATTTCCTTCCAGCTGCCACTCACTCCCTGATCATTCTGACTGTGTGTCTCACTCCAGGTTCTAATAGTTACAACACGCACTGAGGTTAATTCTAATCTCCAGTTTTCTGTTTTGTTTCCAGGAATCTGATATTATTAAAATCCAGGCATTCATCAGAGCAAACAAGGCCCGAGATGATTATAAAACTCTGAGTGAGTATCAGACTCAAGAACTTGTGCTGGATCCTTAGTCACCATCCATCATTGGGTGTGCTCTATCCGCTGTAAATTTACCAATCTGTCGGGAATCAGTTTGTTCCTAGGTTATTAGGTTGAGGTAGGGAAGGGATGGACGAGAGCATATATAGTTTGAAAAAGAGGGTAAAGGGATTAAAGTAAGTGAAAGAGGAGGTAGATTGTTGGGGGACGTGAATGAGAGACAGGAACCAGGAAGATCCAATGTCAGGGATTCTCGGAGTAACACTGTACCGACAGGTTAATGCTTTTAATTGAAAATCACTGACCTGAAACCTGCACAGCTTGGTGTCAGGATGAGGTTTGTTTTGTAGTTGTCCTCTCCTTTTCTCCTTGTCTCACACACCCTCTGCTCTCGGATAGTCAATGCGGAGCAGCCTCCAATGGTTGTGGTCCGGAAATTTGTCCACCTGCTCGATCAGAGTGACCAGGATTTCCAGGAGGAGATGGAAATGATGCGACTAAGAGAGGAAGTGGTTACTCGGATCCGATCCAATCAGCAACTGGAAAACGACCTCAATACAATGGATATCAAGATTGGGCTCCTGGTGAAGAACAAAATCACATTGCAGGTAACAGGAATAGCACCTCCGCAACACCCAAGTAATGAATATCAACCCCAGAATAATGGGAATATCACCTAGAATAATGGGGACATTGCCCCCAGAATATAGGGAATAGTGCCATGGGAATAACCAGAGTATCCTTCCCGGAATATCAGAAATATTATCCCCAGAAGAACTGGAGAGTCAGATCAGAAAAGTGGGAATATCAATCACAAAACATCATACCCAGAATAAAGAAAATATCAACCTGTGGTTTGTTGGGAGTACCACTTCCTGAAATGGGAATATAATTCTGGAATAATGGGAATGTTGCCCCCAGTAATGGGATATCAATTCCAAAATAATAGAAATGTCACTTAAAGAATAACAGGGATATTGTCTGAGAATACCAATATGGGAACACCATTTCCAGCAATAGGAATACCATTTGAGAAGCTTGTAGGAATAACTCTCTGGAAATACAATGCTAGCGATAGCCATCCCAGGTAATCCTATTCTTGCTAACAGGAATATTGTCCCAAGCACTAGGATAACTGGTCAGGGTCTTCCATTGGGAATATTACCCCAGACAACAGGAATGTTGCCCTGAACAGTGAGAAAATCACACTGGAAATATTACCCTGGGAATATTGACTGGACAATGGGAAAATCAGGGAAATTCCAGAAAATTATGACATAGTCGGGATCTGGGAGGACAGAGGCCCCTGGTTTTTAGCCACTGTCTCCAATTCATGTGGTGAGCCAGTGACCAATGGCAGGGATAGTAGGAACTGCAGATGCTGGAGAATCCGAGACAACAAGGTGCAGGGCTGGATGAACACAGCAGGCCAAGCAGCATCATAGGAGCAGAGAGGCTGACGTTTCGGGCCTAGACCCTTCATCAGAAAAGGGTTAGGGTTAGGGTTAGGGTTAGGGTTAAGACCAATGGCAGGGATGGGTTTGTGGTGAGACACTGACAGGTACCTTTCCCATGTTACAGGAAGTAGTGTCGCACAGCAAGAAACTGACCCGGAAGAACAAAGAGCAGCTGTCAGACATGATGCAGATCAACAAACAGAAAGGAGGCCTGAAGGCCTTGAGCAAGGAGAAACGCATGAAGCTCGAGGCTTACCAGAACCTTTTCTACCTGCTCCAGGTAAAACTCCAGTCGGATTCTTTCCCACCAACCGTGTCCAAGGACACGGTGCCCAGCCTCTCCCAGATAGGAAAAATCACGGAACCCCTTTTAATTCCCTCCCACAGCCCTGTGTACGCTCTACTCCCCATCACTGACTCTACCCACCCATTTTGAAGTTGTCACCTTTGGCTCTGGATGTAACAGTCTTGCCTCTGACCCAGAAGGTTGTGGGTTGAAGTCCCTGCCTCGCACTTTGAGCATTAATTACAGCTAGGCTCTCCCATGTAGCACTGAGGAGCTGCTGAACTGTTAGACACGAGGCCCCAGCTTCCCTCACCTGAACAGTGACCTGGGGCCTAAGTTTATCCCTCAACCAACATCACAATCTGATCATTATCTCATTGCGGGATCCTGCTGTGTGCAAGTTGGCTGTTGCTTTTCCTACACTAGAACAAAGACTGCCCTTCAAAAACAATACCTCATTAACTGTGAAGCGCTCTGCGATGCCCTGAATCTGTGAAAGGGAGCTATGAAAATGCAAGTTCTTCCTGTGGGAAGCGTTTGGGGTCATCTTTTGCAGTGACGTTCAATTTCCAACTTTGTCATGTGTGAGCCCCCCCCCACTGCTGCTGGGACCAGGAGACAGTCTATGTCTGTAGACCCTGTAACCCTGTGATCGAGCAGAGTGTCTAGAAGAAAACTGGAGGGAAATGGGAAAAGTGAATTTAAGGTAAACTGTTTCATTCAATGAGAAAGAAATCAGTGTCAAACTGTGTGTGTTTCTCTCTCTCTCTCTCTCTCTCTCCAGACTAACCCCACCTACCTGGCCAAGCTGATTTTTCAGATGCCTCAGAATAAATCCACCAAGTTCATGGACTCAGTCATTTTCACACTCTATAATTACGCTTCGAACCAGAGAGAGGAGTACCTGCTGCTGAAACTCTTCAAGACTGCCCTCCAGGAGGAAATCAAGTAGGTTCCTGGCCACGTCCTGTCCTCTACCCCAATCCCAGATCAGTCACTGGGAGGTGACTCCAGTCAAAAAGATCCTGATGAATATCCGGTTTGGGAATGGGATTCAGGGCTGTAGGGAGAGGCTCAAACTGAGGTGTGTGAAGTTGTTTTTATGAATTCACAGTTGGCTGGGCCAGCATTTATTACCCATTCCCAGTTGCTTTGGAGAAGATGGTAGTAAGTTGCCTCCTTGAACCACTGCAGTCCATTTGCTGTAGGTAGGACTTACAATGTTGTGAAGAGGGCATTGACTACGCAATGCACCGCAATCTCTTTGCTGCCGGAGAGTGGGGTTTACAGTCCAGGCAGAAGGTCACTGTCCAAGGGTGATGTCAGAGGAGAGAGACACGAATGGGATTTTCTTTGGTGGCCTCAGCACAGGTAGAACGTTTCTCAAGGAGTGTGAGAGTTGGTCTCTGTGTATATACAGGCCTCTAAGGCTAAGCAGTTTGAGATATCCCTGGCAAAAGTGATTCTGACCCTGGCACATTCTCTGCTTTCTGCAGGTCAAAGGTAGATCAACTCCATGAGATCATCACAGGAAACCCCACCGTTATTAAGATGGTGGTCAGCTTTAATCGTGGAGCACGAGGACAGAACGCTCTCCGACAGATCCTGGCACCTGTTGTCAAGGAGATCATTGAGGAACGGTCGATGAACATCAAGACGGACCCTGTGGATATATACAAGGCTTGGGTGAACCAGATGGAGTCGCAGACAGGAGAGGCCAGGTAAAGGAGAGTGTGTGACTCACTGTAAACTTCCTCACCCTTTGGCTGCTCCATACACACCTGGTGAGATCCTGGTCTTCCAGGAGTACCAACCAATGAAGACACTGCCTCAGTTGCCCCTTTTACCAGTGCTGTCCCCAACCCTGGCGACAGCATGATGCCAGGGGAGACAGTTTGGAATGAACATGGTTATAAAGGGTATCAATGCGCTGAGTGAGGAGCCTCTAGGGGATAGTGGAGCATATTGGGGATGAGGAGCGTTGCTGTTCACCAGCTTTTCTGGAGACACTAGTCTGCCCGGAATATGTGACTCCGATTGGAGTTGGACCATTCTGTAAAGGGCCCTCGAGCCTGTTCCGTTATTCACTAAGTCACAGCTCATTTGATGGCTAACACTGCTGCCTCACAGTGCCAGGGACCCGGGTTCAATTCCAGCCTCGGGTGCCTGTCTGTGTGAAGTTTGCACATTCTCCCTGAGTCTGCATGGGCTTTCTCCGAGTGGTCTGGTTTCCTCCCACATCTTTTCCTCCAAAAATGAACAGGTTAGCTGAATTAGACATGGGAAATGCAACAGGGAAAGGGTAGGGGGGATGGGTCTGGGTGGGATGCACACTGGAGGGGTGGTGTGGACGTGTTGGGTCGAATGGCCTGTTTCCACACTGTAGGGATTCTATGATTCTTAATTCCTGTTCCTCCATAATCTCAGAGTCCCTTGAAGCTCAAAAATCTAACTCCTCCTTGAATATATTCAGTGATCCAGCCTCTGGGCTGAAGCATTCTGAAAACTAACAGCTCAGTGAGCTGGTCTCCCAGTGACAGCTTTGGGGACAGGATTCATCCCAATCTCTCTCCTTCATTCCGAGGTGCTCTACTGGTTAACAGTCCTTTGTTCCCTCGCCCAAGGGCATGTTATCTCTCACAATGTGCCCTATGCTAACCACACCAGGCTCACTCTGATCTGGGATAATGAAGAATGAAGATTGCTGTGTTCATCAAACAGGAAGGAACATGAGGGCCACACGACACTGAGAATGGAGGATATGTGTGTTTACACAAGTGATCACATCAGCCAAGTGCCTCAGAGTGCTTCATCTGAAGAATTACTTCACAAAGTGTGTCATTTTGTACAAAGGCAGCCATTCTGCATCAACAGCAGACACCAGTGAAGCAAACAAGAGTTTCCTCAGGTTCCTGTGTTGCACATCAAGGGAGGACCAACAACCACATTTCTACAAACCTACCCAGCTCACTGCATTTCCTGGTGCTGTGCACTTGTTTATCAATGCTAACACTGGCCTGTGCCCTGGTTGGTGATGCCATCATGCTTGGGGAGCAAACCTTTCGACTCGGCTTTCTCCACACCCTCTCCTTTACCCCCTCCCCCAGAGCCTGTTTCCTTGTCACTTACAGATGCTCCCAATCCATTCCAGGTCTTCTTATTCCAGGAGTTCACCGGCTGGGAATCACTCTCCGTCTGCCACTCAGCCCAGAGTTAGGTGAATATAGCTGCCAGGGATTTATGGCTGTGAGAGCCCATGTGGGACGGTGTCTCCGCCATGTTGGAAAGAAATTGAGACAAGTCCATGTCCGATTTCATGTCGTGTTCACTGTCCCTGTGGGCTGAGTGGGTATAGTCCTACCTACAGCTCCAAGCATCGTTAGCACAAAGGCAGAGGTTCAAGCCCACAGTCCACATTGACCCTGAGTACCGAGAGATTGTAATCGGACCATAAGACCATTTCGATATGGGAACAGAACTAGGCTATTCAGTCAGTCGGAGTCTGCTCTGCCATTCAATAAAATCATGGCTGATTTGGTCATCCACAACTCCACTTTCCTGCCTTTTCCCCATAACCTTCAATTCCCCTTACTGATTGAAAAAAACTGTTGATCTCAGTCTCGATACTTGATTGCAGTCTGCTCTGCTGGAGGTGACCCCTTGTAGATAAGATGTTAAATTGAGCCCCCATCCACCCTGGTGGAAAAGATTTAGCTGGTCATTGTCACATTGCTGCTGATGGGAGCTTCCTATGCACAAATTGGCTATGGCATTTTCTGCATTAGTGACCACACAGCAAAAATACTTAATTGGCTGTGGAGCACTTTGAGACATCCTGAGGTTATGAGAGGCACTATACAGATGCAAGTCCTTTATCTAGACAGACAGACATTGTCTTGTACAGTGTCTCTCCCCCTTTCACTGTGTGTTGCTTTGACCTGGCTCAGTTCCTGCTTTGGGATTTGACTCAAAACTCCCAGCATCAAACATGGTAACAATTGGGATAGGGAAGAAATGAGGAGATAGGAGAACCTGCTCCTGGTATGATGTCCATTTCATCACCAGGGAAATGATAGGGATTTTGAAGGGTTCACATTGCCCCTGTGGACTGACATGGCAGAACGGATACCAAGCATCCATCTGCATCTGACCGATAGTCAATATATCCACAATTCTGTTTTTCAGTAAACTCCCGTACGATGTCACACCAGACCAGGCACTCAGTCATGACGAGGTCAAACAGAGACTAGATGCATCCATCAAGAACATGAGGGCAATCACCGACAAATTCCTATCGGCCATTGTTACATCGGTGGACAAAATCCCGTGAGTATTGCCTTCTACCCACCCATTTAATCTCCTCCCACAGCCCCATGTTTTCTGAGATTGCAGTGGACAGGGTGTGACTAGTTCTCTCGCGCATTTCTTGTCTGCACTCCCAGTGAGGATTACGTTGGATACTGGCTGCACCACAGTTTGAGCTGTGGTCACAGTGTGATTCACCAGCTCCTCCGTCTCCCTGTCTTCATTCACCCAATACCTCACCAACTCCACTGTCTCTCTCTGTCTTCATTCACCCAATACCTCACCAACTCCTCCGTCTCCCTGTCTTCATTCACCAATACCTCACCAACTCCACCGTCTCTCCCTGTCTTCATTCACCCAATACCTCACCAACTCCACCATCTCTCCCTG